AACTGTCCACCAGCAGCCTCCTTCAATAAAAAGCATCTCTTGCTTTATTTCTCTGCATAAATGTGCTCCACAAAAACAAAAACAAAAAAACATATCACTCTGTGACCAAGGGGCTGCAAAGATATCCAGGCAAGGACAGAACATGTGAACAGCCAGAGATCTCACAGCCACCAAGAAGCACATAAACAACCCTTGCACAGCAAGCAGGAAGATCTGCTTCCAGCTTTTCAATAATAGGTCTCACTAGTCACTTCTACTCTCCCTAAAGAGCCAGTTCTGAACATCTGCAAATACAGGTTTTCTAATGTCTTAAGTCATTCTACATACCTAAAAATCTATGTAGCATCATTTTCTGAATCCTAGATTTCTATAAAAAGTAGTTTTTACAGAGAACCTCTGGGATGCCTCCTGTACCTGCCTCAGGGTTTACTACTACAGTCAGTGTAACAAGTCCAAATCCACCCTGCTGAAGTTTTGTATCACGCGTCTTCACCACCTTTTATCAGTGTTGAGAAAAAGACTGCATGCAGATGGGCAGCTACAAAAACAGAGATCCTGAATATTTGCACTCCAGTTAATGCAGCCTGAGGCGAAATCAGCTTTTTCCTCTTTCTTCCTTGGAGCCAGAGCATTGTGGACAAAAAACCTGAGACATGTTCTGTGAAGGGTGGCAGTGCAATGTTCTCAGTCTTTGTTTTTCAAAAAGGATTGTAACATTTCTAAACAAGACTTAGCATTCCAAGTGTGGGTAGCAAGGGTATAATTAGTTTAGTGGAATTTTTCATCCAGAAGTCTTTTTTTCTTCCCCCCACCTTCTACTCTTTCCAGAAGGAGAAGTTTTGAAGATTTCTTTTCTGTTTGAAATGAACTAGATGAGGCAACTGGGAGAAACATTCTCTAGCACAGTTAGCAGCTCTTTCAGTCACCCAATGAGACAACAAAAGCAATCTCACCCTTCCCCTACAAGTTGGTTTCATTTTCACTGGGCAGCAGAGATAAGCACTAGATCAACATCCACCAATCTCAGCTCACAGGTGAAGTCCTTTTACCTTTGCAATCTCTCCCACATCAGTAGCTGCCTAGATTAATGATGGCTAGTGATAGGTGCCAGGGCTTCAAGGGACTCACAGCAAAGTACTGAACATGATCATAAGATGCCACATACCTTGTGTATGGCTTAAGCATAGCCTATGGAAAAAGTGAGTCAAACTTACTCATTACTCATAGTTTTTAAAATGACATGAGATTTGACAAGTACTAACACTCAAGAGTTCTGTTGAATGCATGCAGTCTTCATCAAGCAAGCAAAAAACAGATTTATTCATAGGTAGAAAATATTAACAATCAGAAACTGAGCAGAACAAATACAAGTAGAGGTGGAAGACAGATACCAGAGCTGGTTTTCTCTTAAAAACATATATATATATATATTTTATATATATATATGTAATATAATATATATATATAATGCATTTTATATATATATATATATATATATATATAAAATCAGGATACAAAGATTTCTTCCGAGAATTATATAAACAAAAACTCCCAAAACAACCAACCAACCTCAGACATAAAGCTGTTGGAAATACTGGTTTGACAAGGCAATAACCTTCCCATGCCAGTGAAGAAACTGAGGTGACACCCCCACAATTGCAATCAGATCAACAGCTGAGCCCTGTTCTTCAAGCTCACAACACACTCATCTAAGTGGCTTCAGCTGGCTATCAACAAAATTACTCTGATCTGAAACACCAGAATGCATTTCCCATTTCTTCAACTCAGCTAAAACTCGAGGTTATCCCACACAATAGAACAAATATGCTCTTCTGTTCTCAGAGGACAGAGCTGACCTTTCCTAACAGATCCACTGAGAACTAATTGAAACGCACTCAAAACATGCCAAGCCCATTCTCTACTTACAGGAAAAGTATCAGTGCAAATAATTACTAGTGATATGAGTAAAAGGTATTATTTTGTGTAAGGTCAAGTACACAACTATTTCTTAACTAAAAAAGAGAACAAACTCTTGCATCAGTGACTGGTTCATGACACATCATTTGAGTTCTAAGGAAACAAAGGCCAGTTTGCTATTCAAAGCTTACTTAGCCCTTCTTTTTCAAACATGCAAGCTACGTTTCTATTGTTAGTTGTATATAAGCACACATACACTTCTAAAACAAATCATGAAATTAGTAGGGCATTAATTCTAGACAACTGACATTTAGTGTGGCAATGCATTTGACATTAAAGGTGACAGTGTGTTTTAGCTCAAATAAAGAGCCAACAGTCCTTAAAGAACACACGACCACTAATACACTACGTGTCTTTTATTTGGGGACTATAAGTTGCTTACCATTCTTGGAAAGCTTCCACTAAGTGGTCATTATTATCTTTGAGGAGAATACTAACAACTAAAACTAGAAAGGTATCTTGGGACTAAATGCTGCATTATAAATCACATTAGCTTTTTTCTTTTTTGAAAACTTGATATAAACTGAAGCTGCTATTTCCTTTGCTACGATGAAAATCACAGAAGCATATTTATTCCCAGTACTTAACAACAGAACCTACAAACTCCTGCCGATTTCTTTATCCATTTTTAAAGCACAATTTACACTGCAGATAAGGGTATGCTCTTCACAAGATTAAAGCCAAGGTCACGTACTGCACACACACTGCTGCCTGTAGAACAGGGATCAGTTTCACAGACTCCATGTATATTTTTAGAAGGGGCTGCTTGAGCCCTCAGCTAACTGCCCTTCAATTATAAACATGAAGATAAACCTTGGCTTAAAAGGTAACATATAGGCTTCTGTAGCAAAACAGACAGACATAACCCTGCTGATTCAAGTCCCTCCTTTCATCCCATCACAGACACTGAATGGAAAATCCTCAACAGGCTTCACAAGAGCCTTCTGATGCAGTCAAGCGCAGACCTCCCCCAGACTTTGGTAACATCACAAGTGGACCACTTCTGAAAGAAAAGCCTGGTCTCACACTAAGTCCAACAGCTGGTGTCCCAGCACACATATACTGTACTTTACTCTGGACAGATTCTTGGGCAGCTGTTCATACTAGAGCTACAACAGAGGTATTAACACCATAAAGGGAAAGCTGTATCACAAAAGGAAGGTTTTCCCCTTCCCCAGAAAGCACCATTTGCACAAGATGTCCTCAGCAAAGATCCCCAAGTGTCACCGTATCTTTGCAACTGCTGACATGCACCAGGCTTTATTGCTACGTGCTGTCCATAAATCGCTAGCACTTCAAATACAGTTTTGGGCTTAATTCATGGCCATCTAGACAAGGACTCCAAAAATTTCTGTTCACTTAAGTCAGCAGCAGAATCAGAATTATTATACATCTTTAACAATGGAACAATCTTTGAGGCACATCCCAAACAGGCAGCGCAAGACATTGCTGTTGACTACTTAAAACCAGGACCTGGTTGATAATGCTCTTTACCAGGAGGGATTAACTGCATGGAGGTGTTGCAGTTTGGAAGGCATCCAGCAGAGATCAATACCCAGAGCAGCTACAGGGTTCCTTGAGAGTCAGCATTTGTACAGTCAGGACTTACCCATAAAGCTGACCTGAAGCCAGCAATGATCCAAGACTCCTACTCCTGCCTCACCTCCTTCATGTTCCTGAAACACCCACTAATTTCTTGTCAGAGAAGGCCCCTGTACTCATTACCACTGAGCCTAATCTGTATATCGGCCAACTCCATTTTATTGCAGCATGGCAAAAGAGACCTAGAGCTTCAAAACCCATGTGGTAGCATCCACAACAAGGTGTTAAGACCTTTAGCAAACCCAACTCAGCAGCTCTGGACATACACATATAAAAGAGGGGAAATCTAATCTTATATATTACTGCCACTTTAAGACACGGGTTCTTGACTACAGGAGAGATGACCCCACTTTTAAGTCAGGAACACCAGGTAGGACAACACAAAATTTTGACAGCCATCAGTTCAGGACACTAATCTTCCACATTGACACAAGGAGCTTCCAAGATGAATGGACAACTTATGAACAAAACATTACAATCTTTAAAAATATTTTTAAAAGCTCCAGAAATAGTATTTAGAATAAAAGCAGACACTCTAAAATTCTACAAATGGTAAAAGGAACTTCAGAAAACAGCATGACTGAAGTACAGCTTGGTAGACTACATTAGCTAAAACATTTCCAAACAAAGCTAAATAAGCTCCAAATGCTTTGCCTTTGCAGTGACCTCTAGCTGGGCACCAGGCACATCCAGCAGGCACTGCTCACCAGCAGCTACGCTTCATCTCAGAAACAGGGAGTCTCACGAGAAACAAGACTGACTTTCAGGAGTTCTGATGAGCCATCTGTTTAACTGTCTAAGCAACACCTCACTTATTTCTCAGAATCCTGGCCTGAATTTACCATCGAGTTTGTCATCCAGCCATCTCTGATGCAGCTAGCATTGCTGATATTTGAAATCAGCTTACAGACTCCTAGCTAACAGTGCAGTCCTTCAGGCTGCTGCTAAAATTTAGCTCTTTTCCATGTCCTCCTAGAGCATGCAACACCTGTGCTCAGATTCTATCACAAGATCTCCACAAAATGCACTGAAGATGCAATAGTGGGAAATCCCTCACAGTAAGGCCAGCCTAAGAATCAGGATGCCCACACTGATGTTATTTACCTCTTTTTTTTTTCTTAAGTATTTTGGAACTCTAAGATCGTGGGCATCAACACCTCTCTTTACACGATTTATTTTAGCAGCTTCATTACACCTGACTTGAAGTAACAGGCGCACGCACACACGGGTATCTGCGAGGAGACAGCTGCATAACCTGCAGAAGTCATTTACAGGGACCCCTCAGCCGCAAGCCGCTGGCAGGCAGGGCCGATTCACCACTTGGACTCACATCCTCTATTTCTGTTTTTAAACTTCTCTTTTCAAACCACCCGCTCCACCCCCCGTCTCCGCCTCACGCCTCCGCGCCCCGCCCACGGTACCTCGGAGCCGTGGGAACTCGCGCTCTCGGAGGCCGCGCAGCTCGCCTCCGTAGCCATAGCCGGCGGGGCAGCTGCTCTGGAAGGCCCGGAAGGAGAGCAGCTCCTCCGCCATGCCGCGGGCTGAGGCGGAAAAGTGAGAGGCGGACACAACACGGCGGTCAACTTAGTCCGGAAGGCCGAGTCGAGCCGCCCGGCCGCTCTCGGGCCCGCGCTGCGCCCAGCCCGGCTCCTCCCGCCGCCCGCCCCCGCGGGGCAGCACCCGGGTCCGGGCCCGCCTGTCCGAACTTGGAGCCCCGTACCTCAGCGCCTGCGTGGGGCAGGTGTTGCCCGGAACGACGCGGCTGGCCAGTGAGCCCAGTATTTCTTTGGCTGCTGCTGAACAGCACGAGGCTCACACCTCATGCTTGAAGTCTGGTAGCTGCTTCATCCTGCTGATCTGGCACAGATGCCCTGTGCTCAATGTATGGGACCGTGGCTGGCCAAAAACAGTAGCATGGCATTGATTATCAGAGAACTGCAGCCATTTGAATAAATGCCTTTCCTTTATAGAATAAACCAGAGCCATTGACACACTAACTTCTTCTGGCTATGATAATTTTTATTTCCCATTTTCCTCACAAAAAAATAAAAAGCTTTCCAACCATCAAATGGTTTTCCCAATTCAAGGGGAAAACAATGGATCTCCTACTCACAGCTCTGGAGAGCACCCCTCAATCCGCAGAAAGTTAAACGCCCACCCCAGCACAGTTCTAAAATAAAACTCGTTAGAGCAGATCTGCATCAGGCTTCTGGTCAGACAGACTCTTTACTGGAAATGCTATCAGCCTATCATCAGTGAAATAGGAAACTGCAGAGAACAAAGTTCAGTCCAAATAGCACTGTAAAGATTTTCACTCAAGATACAGAATAAAAGCAATGGAGAAAATTAAAAAGCAAGGCTGATAGGAAACACTGTGCTAATGCACTCCCTACTTTATATATTAGGAGATTTTGTCCAGTTTAAGAATACAGGCCTGACTCCGAGGCACTGAAGAGCATCCCTGTAACACTAAAAATAGGTTCACCCTTGACTGTATTCATGGATAAGGTAGGTATACCAACACGGACTGTGTCTCATTTCCAGATGTCTTTCTACAGGACCTTGTCTGGACATTATGACATTCATATCATCACCAACACTGTAACTCCATATGTTGATTACAAAGTAATTTTCTGCCAAAACCAGAAGCAAAGCAAAAGCACAGTCAATTTTGTAGATGATATGACTGTTTCAATCTGGTATGATACATCAACACAGAATAAACATGTTTCCGCTTACGGTAATACACCACACAACATGTATTACATGAACATTTTAAGCATCCCAAGTTACATGAATTCCTTGCTCTGAGGCCTGCTTGCTAGGCAGCCTAAAGTTTCAGACTCACCAAATTTAATGTGGACAAAACCAGTACTTCACAACTACTACTTCTGCATTCAGCACACTTGCATTTTTAGCCTCAGTTTTAATACAGTGAAGGCTCTGCAGAGAAAGAAAAGATTTCTTCCTTCCATTTGTAACTAGTTCCTGAACTAGCTTGCCAGCTTACTTCTATGAGGAAAGCATCACAAGAATCGGGAGCTGGATAGAGGAGAGGAACCTCAGCCAGTTCTCCTACTGCAGGGAAAGTGAGCATATCTCTGTCCTCAGATCACCATAAGCTCTGAAAGGCACTAGGCAACCTGCGCATGTGAGGCTTTGGCATGGCTGCTCCCTTCTGGTGTGTGTGACAGAGTGGGAGTTGGAGTACAAGCGTACAAATCCAAATGAAGCAAGGTTTTATTTCTCCCACTGTTCACAGAATTTTAGAATACATTCAGAAAAACAATCAAGACAATTCTTGTCAAAGCAGTAGCAAAAGAAACGGAGGAGGAAGGAAGTACAAGAATCCAAATGTGACTTCTTCACTATAATTAACAGTTTAGCCTAAAAATACAGGTATTCAGAAAACTGTAGGATCTGCACACAAATCTGAAAATTCTCTTTGGGGGGGGGAAAAAAAAAAAAAAAAAAGGTCTTTTTCATGTTTTTCACTTTAAAAAAATGGGGTTTAACTGCTACTAAAAAGCTGCTGATTATTTTCTGAAACTACATCAGATACACCTTCACATTATCCATCCACACAGAGAAGTTCTGACAGCACACTCACCTGAAAGCTTATGTAATACCCCACAGACACCCCTGAGACCACAACCGCAGGTCTCAAATACATACTCAGTTCATTACTGGAAGTACTTCATTATATCATAACTTTGTCATAAGACGACATATTCATTGCCATTCTCAGTGAGCACAGCAGTCTCACACAAATGCAGCACTCTCAAAACTAGTGAGGGACCAATTCTTGAAACCTGAAGCCTAAATCAATTTTCTTTTGGAGAGAAAAAACACAGCCTCAGTCTTCTTTCTTCAATAGTTCTTAAAAGATACACTTAGAATGCATAACATATCCAAAATATAATTATTTTTGGCATAATTGATGACTTCACAAAACCTAGTTACTGAATGAGCTTTACCTTACTTCCTTCCAAGTGAACAAAAGACCTCTATTGAAAAAAAACTGTTGCTATCAAGTAGAATACTTTAAGCTTGCAGCCTTACATTCTTAAACCAGAAGCTGGCACCAAATACTTTTTTTTTTGTTTATGTGTTTTGATTTGCAAGGGTCAATGCCATTCCTATGACTTTTTTTTTAATTCTAAATATGTGTATGAAACACCTGCCATTGATTTTCCCTCATATTTCTAGCTTTCTGTTATCAATTCCAGAGCAATTTATTTTTACTGATTGTCACGTACTATTCCCTCATTATTTCCATATATTGAGAAATACATTCACTTCCTTATCAAACCAAGGTTTGTTTTCCCCACCAGAATTGCCCCTTTTTCTTGAGGATGAAGCTTTCTGATCTTAAAATAAATTCATCTGAAGGACCTAATTTCCATTCAGACTTTCATATAAAGATAGGGCCTCACAATTTTTCTTCTTGGTTTTAGAGAACTGTCCTCTTGGAAGCACTGGACACACAAAGAATTACTAATTCGGAATGCTCTCTGTTTGCATTTTGTATGTTGAATGTATTGTGGCAATGACCTCTGATCCCAAGGGAGCTACTGGTTACTAGTGCATCACTACCAAAATCCTGTCATGTAAGTCTAATATAGTCCTGAATCTCCATAAGGGCTACCATAAAATTTCTATGTGACAAGAGTAATCAAAGTCTTACTGGTGGACCCATTTCTGAAGTAAGCACCACATGCATTTTCCATTTGCCCCAGTCATATTCATAGTTAGAGTAACTTTTCCTTTTCTGAGGTTACTAAGTGTAATGCTATAATGGGATGATAATAGCAGGGTGGCAAATTCTTCAACTACAGCAAATGAGAGCAAGCCCAAATGCAGCAGCCACAGATACAGAAATGAAGGAAAAGTACCGCTTACCTTTAGAAGGCTTCAGGTAGGCAGGGATCTCCAGCAAGAGACACCCTCACCTCCACTACCAACCCTTAAATGAGGTCTAGGAAGGGGTGGATCCTTGATCCATTACTTGCACCTTGCACAGTTGGCCCTGCCTTCCCACCAGGTACTCAATTATTGTCTCAGGCTATAAATTAGCATTTCCACTACACCAAGTGAAGCCAGGGAATCAGTTCATGTAAGAATATTAGTTAAATAAATTGTTGGGCAGGTATTGCCAAGAGAGGCAAGTTCACAAAACCATAAAGTGATGAAATGCTGTTACTAAAAGGAACATTGTACCACGAGGTATGCATATTAACCTCTTGCCTGTGTGAATACTTAGACTTTAAGTTCTCTCCTAAATGAAGACTCAAAAGCAGTAACAGAACAATTAAACTTGCTCATTCCAAGTTTTAGCAGAGTGAATGTTTCTTGCTTCATAAATATCAAAAGGTGACACCTCCATTCCTTAGAAGATGTTAAAAAAATGTGGAAGGGGTTTCTGTAGTCACTTCATTGCACTTTGACAATGCTTTTGTTCTCTCTAGCAAGCCCTATAAGGAGCAAGTAATAGTAGCCTCCACACACTTTGCAAAGAACTCAGAAGATTATATGCTCATCTATAAAGGGTATTCACTCACTTCTTGCCACTTTACAGAAAAGCAATGGGACTCCAGTATTGATTCTTCACAGTCTACTTCCATGCAAATAACAAACCATCATCATAGTGCCACTGTATGACAGGAGAGCATAGAAAAGTTGGAATGTGCTCGTTGGAAGGACAAAAGAATATAGACACAGGCTGGAACCAGGGAAATTCTGACTAGAGATAAAGAACTGCATGAAAGAGAACACTGGAGCAGCATTCAGAGGGCCAATGGAACTTCCAACCTTAGGGAGACTCAAAGCCTCCAAGTACACAGCCCTGAGCAACCTGCTCTCAATGTGCTTCCCTAATAATTAACTCCAATGATCAGCAAAATATCTCTAAATAATTAATGCTTGGCTGTCAGCATCAGCTCTCAGATAGCTTGGCAAGCAACAAAAGCTTGTCCTAGGGCAGGAACATAGATTGCACAACCTTTTTCTGTCCCCTACAGCACATTTTTTTACTATATTTCTAATAAGCTGCACGTCTACAGAAGCCAATAGTACCATGCTTAGCACACGCAGAATCTCTACTGGTTACAACTAGGCAGAAAAGATATTCCTGACAAAAGAGGAAAAACTAAGGCCTTAAACAGGTCAGAATAGCTAAGGCTGAAAGGTACTTTTAAAGGTCACCCAGCTCTGGTCTGCTAATTTGTGCTTACTTCCACTATGCCACTGACATCCAGTAGCAGTCATCTTTCATAGTGATGACACCAGTTGACACTACTATCTTTAAAAACAGAAAAACAACACACATTGCACTAAGCCCACACACCATGAATTTCTATTTCCAAGACCTGTTACCCCTTGCTTGCTTTACCACTGTGAACTACCCCAAGGCACGTTCTACTGTCTTCTCTCTTCAACAAAGAGATCTGACAAGGCATAACAGAATAGAAAATGCAGCAATGACAGCAGAGCAGCAAGGTCCCAAGTCAAAACAAACAAGTATTTGCTCAAATGCAATAGCTGCAGAAACAAAGGAAAGGTACTGCTTACCTTTAGAAGGGCTCAGGCATACAAGGAGCCAACAAGATACCCTTGCCTTC